TGGAGGCCGAGAGATCCGGGTACTTAGTCCTGTTCCTGGGCGGAGGCTGGGCAGAGATGGAGGTTTAGAAAGGCAACAGATCAGATGTTTCAAAAGCTAACTTGAATTATTAATTAGTACTTTAAATCCGTCTCCGTTCAGATGTACCGACCACCTGTGTTTAAGCCCTGGCTATTATAATTAATGGACTGTTTAAGGACAGTCTTCTCTCTTCCAGGGACTTGGACACTGCAAAACGAAACCCAGTTCCTTGGAGTTGATTCCGACTCTTAGCGACCCCATAGGGCTTAATAGAATAACTCCTTTGGGTTTCCGAAACTGCCATTTAATAAAACAGGCCGCCTGGTCTTTCTTCATAGGAATTGGTGGTGGGTTCGAACCGCTCTTGGGTTAGCAGCCCAATGAATAACCTATCAGGAGGGCAATTAAAAGAATTGCAATTCAATTAAGAAGGTATGGGGGGGGGGGGATGCTTTGGGAAAAGACAGAATTTAAAGGAAACAAGGACTGTTCTTAATATACAGCCAAAGGGAATATACAGGATAACGAATTTGGGCATGGTAACTTGCTTTGAAATGAGGAAAAAATACTTAATTCTAAAACGAAGCATTTATTTTAAGTGTCTGCAATTGTACCATGATTTTGTTAGATTTCTCAGGTGAGAAGGGATAAGAAAAGGGGGGATGGTCTTGCAGTCAAGGTATTTGAGGTATCTGGCTGGGAGGCGTGGTCAAAAGTATTGGATGGCCCCCATTGGCTGAATTAATAAATAGCCCACCTGGGCTTATTTTGGGCCACCCAGTTAGTCTTTATGGCTGGCCAAAGGTTTGCCTTGATTCTCTTAAAGCTTGGAGAGGGACAATCCTGCCCCTATCCTGCTCCGTAACATTTTCAGTTTAAATTCATGTGTAAACGAAGAGTTCTTGTTCTAGAAAGAAGTTAAGGCAATAATTCAACAAATATATATCACACCATTTACTAGCACTGTGCTGCTGTTGTTAAATGCTGTCGTCAGTTCTGACGCATAGCAACTAGGTACAACACAGCAAAACACTGCCCTGGCCTGCACCATCCTCACACGTGTTCTTATGTTTGATCCCATTGTTTCAGCCACTGTGTCAGTCCATCTTGTTGAGGGCCTGCCTCCTTTCCACTGCCTCTCTACTGAGCATGGTGTCCTTTCTCCAAAGACTGGGCTCTCCTGACAACTTGTCCCATGAAAGGAAGTCTCATCATCCATGCTTCAGGAGCATCCTGGCAGTACTTCTTCCAAGACAGATTTGTTGGTTTTTTGACAGCCCATGGTACTTTCAATATTCTTTACCAGTACCGTAATCCAAATGCATCAATTTCTCCTTGGTCCTCCTCATTCAATATCCCACATTCACATTAAATATAAAGCAATTAAAAATACTGTGGCTTGGGTTAAAATAACACCCCTGCTCTTCAACCCTGTAAAGAGGTCTTGTGCAGCAGATTTACCTACTGCAGTGCATCCTTTGATCTCTTGACTGCTGCTTCCATGAGCATCGATTGTGGATCCAAGCAAGACACAATCCTGGACAATTTCAACCATTTCCCCATTTATCATGATGTCATCTATTGGTCCAGGTATAAAGATTTCTGTTTTCTATATATTGATTTGTAGTCCATACTGAAGGCTGCAATCCTTGATCTTTTCCAGCAAGTCTCCCTCATTTTCAGCAAACAAGGTTGTGTCATCTGCATTTCAAAGGCTGTTAATAAGCCTTCCTCCAATTCTGATGCCACATTCTTCTTCAAATAATCCAGATTCTCTGATAATTTGCTCAGCATACAGATGAATAAGTATGGTGAAAGAAAATAACCCTGCCACACTTTTCCTGATTTTAAACAATACAGTATTACCTTGTTATATTTGCCCAACTGCTCCTTGGTCCATATACAGGTTCCGAAAGACTACAATTAGGTGAACTGGGCTATGTGACGCAATGGATAGCGCATTGGACACCTAACTCTTCTCAACTATTAGGTGTCAGGGTAACCAGCCCCTAACAATCTATCCCAGATCTGTAGGAGCAATTGTACGCTTATAATATATAAAGATTATCGTAAAGTCATAGAGAATAAGAGAGAAAATAAAATGAAGGAGTCAGACACAATTCAGGGTAGCATGCTCACCTCAACCCCTTTTGATGGTCCATATGGAAATGCGGGAGGAGGAGAGAGCGATTTATTTCTAACCAAGGCTTATATATCTTTGGGGGCATGCAAGCCCCCTGATTACAGTTTAGGACCTACATCACAAGAAGGGATTGTACCATAGACAATACAGCAATGGGAGGTGTACACACTATAGGAAGAGGAGGGATTAAGAGACCGCATGTGACAAGATGGGCAGATCCTAGATTCATGATGGCAGCCTAAACTTGATTGTCCTTGAGCTGGTGGTTTAAGGTGACCAGACGTCCCGCTTTTGGCGGGACAGTCTCGATTTTTAACAATTTGTCCTGCATCCCGGGGCGTTTTTAAAAAGTCCCGATTTGGGGAAAGAATGCACAACAAGCGAGGGTATACAGTTTTCGGTTGCCATGTGGCTATTTCACCAGGATATGAGTTTTATCAATGGTGTACCGCTTTACCAATGTTAAAATCTGGTCACCTTAGGTTTGACTTATTCTGAGCTTTCCAGGGAAATCAATCCACTGTCCTTAACAGCAGGGAGTGAGCCCCACCTGCTCTGGATGGCTGATGCCTTCAGGACAATTATTTACCATTGGTTGCAAGCAGTGTCCTAGGTCTGACATATATTGGGGGGAGACAAATTGGGGAAAAGCCTTTTTATATCCCACAATTAGTTGTTCTGGAATTCACATACTTCTCAAGATTATCCATAGCTTTTTATGATCCACACAGTTGAATGCCTTTGCATAGTCCAGTGGTTCTCAACCTTCCAATGCTGTGACCCTTTAATGCAGTTCCTTATGTTGTGGTGACCCCCCAAACCATAAAATTATTTTCATTGCTACTTCATAACTGTAATTCTGCTACTGTTATGAATCAGGCAACCCCTGTAAAAGGGTTGTTCGACCCCCACAGGGGTTGCAACCCACAGGTTGAGAACTGCTGGCATAGTCAATTAAATACAAGTTAACATCTTTCTGGTATTCTTTGCTTTGAGCCTATATCCATTGGACATCAGCCATGATCTCCCTTGTACCATGTCTTCTGCATCCAGCCTGAGCCTCTGACAGCTCCCTGATAATGTAGTGGCCCAGCCGTTGCTGGATACTGTGCTCAAAACTTAAACTCACTAACACAGAGTTAGTGTTGAGTCACAGTGGCCCCTATGAGTTTCCGAGACTAACTGTGTATAGGAATAGAAAATCCAGTCATTCTCCTTCGGAGCTGCTGGCGGTTTCAAACTTCCAACCATGTGTATCACAGCTGTTATTACTAAGATTAACTTGATCCTTAAGGACCCCTGATGGCATTAAGGACCCCTGATGGCATAGTGGTTATGAGTTGGGCTGTGATCCTCAATGTCAGCTGTTCAAAACCATAAGCTCCTCTGCAAGATAAAGATGGGTTTTCTTTTTTTTTTCCTTTTATTATTATTATTTTTTAATCAATTTATTGGGGCTCATACAATTCATCATAATACATAGATCAATTGTATAAAACACATCTATACATTTGTTGCCCTCATTATTCCCAAAATTCGCTTGCCTCTTGGGTTCCCAGAATCAGCTCATTTTCCTTTTCTCCCCTCTCCCCTTC